TAAAATGGGATAAATATCGTTCACGTAATTGGTGCAATTATTTATTTATTTTTTAATGTAAGGAAACTTCCATTCCTTAGGATTCTTAAAGAAATATATACATTTTTTAAAACTTTTTATTCAAACGAAAATTAAAATAAATTAAGTTTATTGTGCTATTATTGTAAACAATTGATTTTTATTGTACAGTTTTTAATAATTTATTCTCCCTGAATTGTACATTATTTTTTTCTTTTCAAAGCAAATCAACATTATTTTATTTTTGCTCAAAAACAGACCAAAAGGTATCCTATTCGAGTTTCAATGTTTTTTTAATTATTACTGGAATATCCAGGGATTTTTAGAAATATTTTCTCCAAATAAAGAATTGCTTAATTTTTTTTTTTTTAAATATTGGTTTTGATATTACAATTAGCCTAGAAAATATAGTTCTTGACGCTTCCTAAAAAAGAATTATAATAATAATTATTGTTAACTTTGGAAATAAACAACTCATTTCTAATAAAATGTTAGTAACTGCAAAAATAATCACAGAGAAAATAAAATTTTGAAATCCTAGTTTTGTTTTTCATTATAAGCCAAGCGAAACATCCAAGTTCTTCAGAACTAAGCAGTCCAAGCAACCACAGATTACTTCTTTTCAAGAACTTTAAAGAATATTTTATAAAAAATGCGACTTATGAGAGACCTTTTTTTCGTTAATTTTACTAGTTTATTTTAATATTTTTGCTATTAATCTTTTGGGCCATTGACATCTTGGACTGAATTTCATTGATTTCAAAACTCCTCATTTTTTTTATATAATTTAAAATTTAATTTTAATAATGAAACATGTCATTTTTGAATATTGAATATTCTTTGAATATTACAACTTTAACAAGTTGGGTTAGAATCATCTTAAATGTTAACGATTTTAAAATTCATGTAAAATCCTGAAACGAATACTTTACTTGATAATCTGTATGACGTTCTAAAATTTGGAACTGTGTGTCTTATCTCTGTTATAACTTTTTTTCTGTGATTTTTTTAGAGGAAGAAGCAATACAAAACAATGCCGTTTAGAATGACAGATTAAAGGCTGAGACTTTGAGGCTGAAGACCCACAAAAAAAAAAAGGTTAAATATTATTTGTTTTATTGGTCCACATTCATTTGTTGTTCTCTGGCTCAAATACACAATCAATTACAACATGGTTTCTTTCCGTTTTTATTTAACAGACTCATTTATTATCTGGATTCATTTAATTACTTTGTTTGAATTTAGTCACGTAACAATATAAAAAAAAATTAAGAATCACCGAGAATTAATTTAAAAAATCGTTCAGGATGAAAATCATCAGCCATGACATTGAACAAGTACTCATATCTAATCTTATTTAATTGAATTAAATAAAAGAAATGCGTGAATGGAGTTGGATTACACAATGGTTCAAATCTAAACAGCCATTGCTACATACACTGAACGAATTCCTGGGCTTTCACTTTCAATGAATGGATACAGCGTCTTACGCGTATCAGGTACTATTAACAAGGAGGGGGAGTTTAGGACAAACAAAGTTGATATTCGTTCTTCCATTCACCTCAAAAAAACTATAAATTACTAATTTTCGGAGCAACATTAAAATTTGTTGCATGAAATTTGTCTTTAAGACTGGAAAATTGTGATAACTTAAGCACAACTCCACCGAATCATTCGAAAATTTTGTTATTTAAGATATTTCATAACTCGTTTAATCCCATATCCAATATTTTTTTCCTCATTCCGGACAAAAATAAAAGAAAAGAAAATAAATTTTAAAAAAATCCGGACAAAGTAAAGACAAAAATAAATAATACAAATTTTGATTGAAATTATATATTTTTTTTTTTTTTGGCTTCCAGGGCTCATGGACGAGAATCCTCGGGCATGTGTATAATATTTTTCGATCTTGTATCACCAAAAATAGTTTCATTGAAATCGAAGACCCAAGATTGTTTCCGCGATCTTTTTCTTATTAAATCGCAGCTTAGCAATAATATATTACGAGCATTGTGCATAAATATATTTTAAAATATGTAATGGTAACATAGCAGTCTTTTCAACAGCCAGATTAGTTTCATCGCACTTAATTAAAATTAATCGGTCCATCCACCGTAATTTAAATAGATTAAAATAGAAATAATATTTGTAAATACACATAAATAAATAACCATGAGCTATTTATTTCAAAACAACTAAGTGCTAATAGTGATGTCAAAATTGGTTTTGAAAAAATAAAATAAAATGTGAAACTCACGATCAAATTTTAACGTAAAAAAATATACAATGCTATTGTATATTCACAGTAAATTAGGAATTTATTAATCAGAAAAATATTTGAACAATAAAAGCAGTAAAAATTGATGTTTACAAAAATACCAAATCTCCTAATAGCTCCCATTAAAAAGATAACGCTGATAACAGAAAATCTTTTTGCAAACAAATTTGTTATCCAAAAATCTTTATTTTTTTCATTCATAATTTGTAGAAGTGTTATTATAATTGAGTATATATTAATGATATATATATATATATATATATATATTAATATATATAATATTTTTATTTACTATTTAATAAATACTTATCTGAGGATATATGGTATTTCTCAGTAAATAAAAAAGTATAATTAAAAATTAAAAATCATTCTCGGATATAAAACTGCACTTATTATCTAACAGAAATTCACATTACTTGCATTTTGAAGTCGTAATTAGGAATTTAGAATCATCTCTTAGTTATACACCAATCACAAACATACGTGAATAATCTTTCACAAAATAAATCATAATCCGTAAATTGTAGCCAAATACATGTTTATATTTTAAATTAAATATATATTTAAAGATAGTTTGATGCAATTTATCATGATTAAATTAAGGAAAACATTTTAGAAACGTACGACCTTTTTTAATATTTAGTGTTTCCTCAGAAAAAGGCAAATTTTTATTTTATTGGATTGGGATCAAATAAAACATGTCAAGCATCTCTCCTGGAACCGTGGGAGGAAAATATTTATTAAATCAAATATTGAATTCTAGGCGTAAAAATTCATCGTCAAAAATAAATAAGCGTCGGACTTGAAACTCACACAAAATACGTGAAAACAAAATTCTTGGTTATAAAAAATATATGAAAAAATAGAATGGACATAATACTTTGATTCAACTTATTTATAGTAATTGATTTTAGAGATTTTTGGGATATGTTAGTCCAGTAATTTAAAGACTTCGCCATTTTAAATTAATATATTAATCACATAATTTTTATCAAGGGATATTTGTTTATCAACATTTTAAGTTAAATAACGAAGTCTTAATTTCTCCAGTTTCATTGAAAAATACTTTCTATCAAATAAAACATGAATACTTCAAACACTTAAAAATACGTTTAAATTATTGTAATGTATTTAATTCCTTAAAAAGGAACTGGGATATATTAGATCAAAATTATAATCTTATTAATTTATTAATTAAATAATTGAATAAGACACGAAAAGACATTTTTTTTTTTTCAATAATATAGGAAAGATTACAATAATATTTTTTTTTTAAATAAACTGTAAAATGAAACTTTTTTTATTCTTTTTTTTAAATGATATTTTCAATAATAAATATTGCCTCTAAATACAATAAATTTAAAATAGAAAATAAAATCTTGGTTGATCAGTGAAAACGTGTGCTGGGCAAGACGGGCTATGGATGCGGGGCAGCCATAGGTACCATTTTGTTTTTAAAATACTTTTACACAATACAACCAAAAAAGGATGAATAAAATAGTTAACAGTTTGACTATTTCATCTAACATATCGTTAAAATGTTGTGCAATGTTGTGGAAATATAAACTTTCAATTATTTTTAATTTATTTACGCGAGTAAACAGGTTGGATACAATTATTAACGACTAGAAAGTACTGTTGATAATAATTATAATTATGTACGATATAGATATTTATCATAATCTCTTTCATAAATCTTGTACAGAAACCTTTTTTTACACAATAAATAAAAAATAAAATAAAATAAAACTTTGTATTTAATTATTTTACATTTATTTAAGACCAATAAAATGGAAAACTAACGACAAAACAAAAACACGTATTGTACAAACGAAGTCAAACGAGATGTTTCCTCTTGGACGCGCTCGGGACAACATGCACTAAGGAATTATTAATTATTAAAAATAAATTATTACACTTTATCTTTAACAAATATTTATAGATGTCGGATTAGGATAAAACTTATTATCATTCAAAATACAGTATTAATTTATATGTCAAGTTATTATTTGTTATTGTTGGTATGTTATCAATGCCACAATACGATTTCTCTGTATGAAATCACGTAATTCTATAACTCAAAAGATATAACAGTAATAGCTTTATCAAACGACACAAGAAAAAAAAATTAAATTAATCAAAATTATTAAATGTAAATTTTAAACTATGATAATTACTTGTTAACTTATGAATCATCCGGAAAAAAATCGTGTGTTGGTGCGAATAAATAATAATATTCTTAAAAAATAAAATCAATAAATGTTTGCATGGCGTGTGAGAATGATATTTTTACATAAGTGTCATTTTTACAATCGGAGAGCTTTTATTTTTAATTGTAACGGTCCATTTTAAGTATATAAAATTATATTAAGGTTAATGATAGTGCATTTTATGAATTTATCACCGTGGTTGTGTGTTATAAAATTTGGACCCTATTTTAACTCCTACATTTAACTGTAATCTCAAGGTCAAGCAACAATGCAGGATCGTCCGTTCCGTTCTAGATACGGTTGCAGAGTAATAACCTTAGTCAAGTTTAACTAATGCGTTTTTTTTTCTTGTTTTTGAAAATTAGAGCATTAAAGCTGTGTGATAATTTTAATTTTTATTTAAATACGGCCGGAAACTGTTGGAGTCGAGTATCGAGTTATTATACCGCCCGTTCCTACGGGATCAAAATTATTCCATAATGGAATTGCATAGCTTAAATGTAAATTTGTAAGAGGGGGGCCCCCAAGGGAAGCAGAGGGGAGGGGGGGATCGATCGGGTGCCTGCTTGTTCTCTCACCTCTATGTCCTCGTAATTCTTGAAGGAGAGTATGGCGAATCCGTCGATGACATCCTCCTCGAAGATGGGTTCCTTCTTCTTCCTCCTGGGCGGCTTCGCCCTCTCGCGGGTTGGTGACTCCTCGTCGCAGGAGACGCCGGCGGTACCTCGGCGCCTCTTTTCTGCCAGGGCACGGGCCGCCCTGCGCCTAGATCGTAGCCTGCAATCGTCCATAGCACGCACTTGTACCTGTCACATCACAACATCACCCACAATTAACGCACACGCGGCTCGGCCTAGGGAGTCAGCGAACTGGAAAGGCCGGAAGAGGCGACGCGACCCTCCAACACGACGGCCACTGGGATACTGACTGTATGGCGGAGTGGGGGGCGCAGGCTGTCCAACCTACCCGCCATGGAATCCCCCCACCTCCGCGTCAATACGTCCCGCTTTCAAAAGCTTTATGAATCGTAAAGTTCCATGTCACCGGGGGTTAATTGCCTCAATACTTTTCAATCAAACAGGAAAAATCCATAATAGCAAAGTTGTAATTTTTTATTTTTATCTCATTTTCTAAAAATTGGTATGAAGTGATGTTAAGTTGGTAGCACGATAATGTGAATGCTCTTTAGGAGAACCATACAGCTGATTTCAAAATAACTATCCTTATAAATGAAAAATTTCAACTTCCTATGTTTCAAAAGATGTTTGCACTAACCAACTTAAATTGTTGGACTAATAATAATAAAGTACCTTCTATCTAGGATTACAAGCTGGTGGCAGCATTTGATTACATAAGTACCTGGGAACTGACTTAAAGGCGGAAATTATTTAACATAATTACTTACTGTTGATGGAAACAAAAATCAATAATTAAATGGTAAATAGTTTTTTAACAATGATTTTACACGATAATACAAGAATACATTACAAAAATACAGTAATGCAATATAGATAGAATACAAATAAAATTTATTTCATTTTATGCCAACGTTTCGGCCTAAATCTTAGGCCTTAATTATCGAAAATTGGTGCCCCGAGATACTACCATGTCTCTCACCACTACACTGAGTTAGATTGGCTCTTCCCCTCCATTCGAAGACAATATTTCCTAGGTACATTCCTCTATCATATCATCAACAATCATCGTCCTTCCTACGCCTACAACCTTCTCCAATTCAAGTCCTCAGTCCACTCCCTCTCCACAAGATCTCGACCTTCGTACTTTTACATTCCTTCTCACAGATCTGCCTCGTTCCAAAACTCCTTTATTGCACGTTCTGTTAGTTTCTGGAATTCCCTTCCTATCAAAATTCGACATTCTTCATCCTTATCTACATTCAAAACCCTCCTATTCCAATTCCTGTCCCAAAAACAGTCAGGCACCAGCTAATCTTTTATGTAAAATTACATATTATCTATAAGACCATATTCACATATAGCTCATAACCTAAATACTTATTATAGATTCGACTTTCTTTTTCTCATTTTTTTTTTTTTTTCAACAGAAACAGATTTTAATGTTAAGAAGAATATACATTTATTTTTTCTGTATTTTGTATTTTTTCTAAAAGGGCTTATTTATATTTTAACATTGTACATAGTTTTAAGTATCTTAGTATGGTTTCAAGAGTTTTTTATATAGATTTTTTTATTTTATTTTGTATATAGTATGTATAACCAATATTTTTTTCTTTTCTTTTTTTTAATTACTTATCTTTATCTTAATTTGTTATGTTTGTTTTTATCTGGCCAGATGTAAAATTTTAATTTCTGTACTTTTTTGTTATTCTGAAGGGACTTCGTCCCAGAATAAAATTATTTTTCTATTCTAATTTGGGCTGAGTAAAGACAATGTAAGGATCAAATAAAATTATTAGAAAGTAGCACAGACTTCCAGAGCTCAAGATCCCAGGTTCGAATACGGCTGATGTCCAATAATTTTTCATCAGCCGGGAATCGACCGTGGAGCCGAGATACCCTTTTGGAGCTCACTCAGCCTCTATTAAGTCCATATTCTTAGTTAAATAATTAATTAAGGAGGGAAACCTGGTGGCTGAGCGTGATATCGGCCCAATCACCTCACTGCACAACCGTTGGCCTTGTAACAGTACTTCCTCACATAGTAATGCACCCAAGACCCTTCACGGGTTGAGTTATACAAGTTTTTTATAACCACATATCTGATTTCAAAATAACTATTCCGAGAACAGTTCCGAAAACAGTTTAGACTAACAAAGTACCTTCTGTAACACAATTAAAAACAGGTAATAGTGTTTGATTACGTCAAAGTGTCTGAGAACGGACCTAAGGACGAAAATTATTAAACTTAATATTTACCGTTGATAAAAAAAAATAATTAAATCGTTAATGACCATTTACTTTACAATAATTTTATCCCTTTAATAAACACACGATAGTTAGTACAAGAAGAAAATAGAAAAAATAGAATAATGCAATATAAATGAATAAATAAATTTGTGCTGTACAAATAATATTTATACTGTTAGAAAATTTGTTTAGGGTTGTCAACCACCAGTGAGAAACACAAATAAAAACTTCATCAGGTCAGAGTAAAGACAAGATAACAACCAAATAAAGATTATTACAAGCGTACTATACAAAGATATGAAAACAAAATATATATTATCTGCTAATAAATAAATTCCAGAAGTGAATACAAATTTTATTAATACAAATTAGAGAATTTGAATGCAGAAAATAAAACAGTTCCTCCGTTTTCTTAACTGAGCAAAGTTTATTTTATTCTTCCTTCATTTTTATTTATTACTTTTTATTGATGCTTAATTGTTGATTTTGTATTCAATAATACTAGCAAAGTCGCCAGAACCCGGGTAACAGAACCATTCACGTAATCTAAAATCCTATTATATCAAGACTACTTGGGCAGTTCCCAAAATCAGTGCAGAACTCATTGATGACCATCGGAAATACAGCAGACCGTACCTAAACATATCGATGGATCAATAAATGAAATTTAGCGCATTACTTTATTTATCGATTGAATCACCAATAATAAAGCAGTTACATCGGATTTTGGTGTCTCTGGATCTAACCTCTTATCCCTTTATATAATCTCAATATTATTATTTCACAATTTACTTTACAGATTTATATTCAGTTTACTTTTTATCTATATTTATTTCTGTTGGAATAAATAATTTTACCGGCAATTTTATTGGTTGGAGCCTCACGACCTATATTTTTTTTGAAGGAGTGGAAAAATTAATTCCTCCCCTCCTTTAATCTCTGACCATCAACCCTCTCTTCCACCGATAGAAGTTAACATTCTATAGCAATATTTTAGACAGTATATCATAACACAAAATCAGAACTGATACTGATAGAGTCGATCTACTGGCGATGAAACAGAATAAATAATTGCCTACCATCAGTCAAATTTTAATCCGTGACGTTGAGCTTTGGAACCCAGTGCGCTACCCACAGAACTACTTTACATGGTATAACGAAAAAGCGGTAAAAAAGAAAATAATAAAATTGAAATTCGAGAAACTCAATAACAGAGTTGAAGGTTATCATAAATTAGAGATTTTTACTAATAATACGTTGCATGGAAAAGGAAAAAATAAAATTAAAATAAATGAATATTGTCGAATAAATAATAAAATTGAGTATATGTATTCTATTTGACTAAAAAAAATGCAAAAATAATAATATGAATCAGTAAAAAACTGAAATGAGACAGAGATTAAAATTAGAATATTATTGAATTTAATTAACACATGTTCGTATTATTATATATTTTTATCCTTTATTTCCTGATAATCAGCTGTTTAATATAACCCTCCTCTTATATCTTTATTGAAACTTTTTTCCTTCAGGATTTATTTGGATGCCTTGGTTATATGTCGAAGAAAATGATTTTTTTTTGTCTTTCTGCAGACATATGATCTCCTTTTTTCTGTCCTGATGATGTGTGAATTGGCGAAACGTTAACAGATTTTTTATTTTCTGCCTCCATTTTGGAGACATGAGGCTGTTTGGTTAGAATTTGTCCAATTATAATCTAGCATGTAAAAATAATTATAAACAAACCAGACGTCTATTTGGTTTTTAATTTTTTTTTCTTTTATTATTATTATTCAGAAGTTAACATTCTATAGCAATATTTTAGAGAATATATCATAACACAAAATCAGAACTGATACTGACAGAGTTGATCTACGGGCGATGAAACAATTACCTACCATCAGTCAAATTCGAATCCGGGACGGTGTGTTTGGAACCCAGTGCGCTACCAACACTACTACCCTGTATAATATAAAAACACTTGGTGTATAATATAAAAAATAATTAATATAAAAATAATTAATAATATTATTAATTGCAATGATTGTGTTTCATTCTTTGGTGGCCGTGCTACGTTTTAAGAAGTCGCTGTAACTATTCCAAAAAATTATATGTTAAAGTTAAAAAAAAAAAAATCGGCTATAAAATACGAGTTAATAAATTCATCATAAAATGATGAAAATGCTATTCAACAAGATTATTTTCTGAGATGATGTGAAAACATAACTCGTTTTTTTGCGAACAAGATTCTTTCAGAAGAAACTAAGGCAGTAAGAAGGTATAAGCACTCAAACCGGAGAGACCGCTACGAAATGGATTGTTTTGAGCTGCTGGCTCATCCATCTTATAGGCCTCCTATTTCCCCCTCGCATCAAGGGCTTTTCCGCCAAGTTTCCCTCATTCTAAAAGCACCGTGAAAACCGTTTCCAAGAGTTTATTGACAGCATAGAGGAAGGCTGCGTTCAATTTCTCCTGTGGTTGACGGATGACTTGGATTAGCGGGAAGTGAATAAATATTATTGGATGAATAAGGCGTATCTTACCTAATATGCTGTGATAAATATTTAAAAAAATATTACAACATATTTATAAGAGATTTGTCAAAGAAAATCCTCAAAAATATTGAAGGATTAGTCCTCCACAAGATGAGTCCAATAGTATGAGTTTTATTAATTTATTTCATATATTAATATAATTAGAAAACTCTCCATTAATGAGAATTCAGGTTTATAAAAATGTAGTCGGTTACAATAACCAGATATGGGCAAATGATACTCTGAGTACTACTAGCGGATCCAGGATTTAACTTTGAAGGGGCTTCAGCCCGGAAGTTTTTTTTTTTTTCATAAAAATAACGATAATTACTTTGGAAAAAAAAGGTACTAACTACCTATATGAATGGTGATTAAGTGATTCTTTAAGTCCTATTAAATGTAATTAAACGAGCAATAATACTTTACGACCTAATTTTTTAATATTTTTTACCATAAAACATGGTTACGTTTTACCATTTTGTCTTCAGCCCGAAAGCCCCCTCTCCCCGTGGATCCACCCATGCTGAGTACTGAGTACCATTTTTAGGTAA